ATGAGCTATTTAAGTATTATATTTGCTACTAAATTCCCCAAAAGAATTGGAACTACAACTGCTGTTTTCAGAGGTTTTGATCCATTTTGTCCATATTAATGTACCATTTTATTTATCGACTGATGTTTACAAATACGTAAGTTAATTATTAAGCAGCTGTTGGCGTGCGTGTACATGTGAAATGAACGTTTATAATGTTTATCCATATAAGGAGATTTTATTTTTAGTTTACCAGCCCTTATATTTGAATACTAAAACTGTCTGTACCAGTGTTGGTAGTACCAATGTGAAAATGCTGTGCTGAGTGGTTATATTACTACCTTAAAAAATAAGCAGAAACTCGACGTTTCGAGTAACCTGAAGTTCAGGCCCTATATTCACAGAATAGGGCCTGACACAAAACCTATCTAAACTGTGGGATTCCCGTCCACCTGGTGGACGGGAAATCTGATTGGTTGATCAGCATCATGAAGGATTTTGATTGGTTGCATGTTCACATAAACAACAGTTTTAAAAATAGCTCGGTCAAGGCGACAATTAATATAAAGGTCAAACGCACGTAACAAATTCCATTATCGATTTCTTCGAATTTCTTTTCTTTTATGCTTTATGGCAGAAAATAAATCAAACAAACAGTATTTTGAAAGGGCTTTATCAAAATCTTTGACGAATTTTGGACACACACGACGCTCAAAGAACAGCCAAACTAGTCATGTATTCGAAAGCTTGTTGTTGACAGCCAAGATGTTCTGCCAACTGGCTTCGCCGGCAAAAGTCTTATTTTTAATATCAGGTCCTACCGGCGTTGTTTTCTGAGCTACATCGCCTTCTTCGTGGTACGATTGAGAATTTAATTGTTGCTGTTGTTAGCCCGTTAGTCGTTTATAGAGTATATCCGCGTCCAGCAAGTTGAGACCTTGAGAAAGCTTGGCAGTCAAGCCGTCCACAGAACTGACTAATTAATATAAATCTTTGTTTGCTGTTCGGTTAAATGTAAATAGAGAAACTGACTCTTAATTATATAAAAGAACCTTGAATTTTTAAGTTTAATGAAAAAGCAAAATGCATACTCTGCGGACATGTTCATGAGAATATAAATTTTTTGTGTAACAAAATCGAAATCTACAACACTTGTCAATCATATTGCATGTGTGTCTAAAAATAACATGTGGGCGTCCCACGGTCTAGACAGGTTTTGTGTCAGGCCCTATTTCAAATTAGGGCCTGAACTTCAGGTTACGTTTCGAGCGAAGGCCCTTCGTCAAGAGTTAGTAGCGTAGTAGTTTCTTATATTTGAATAGTCGTATTCTTTCAAGTTGTTTTCTTTTTTATAATCTGCAAAGTTGATTCCGAAATGTTAAGGTATTCGAAAAAACTATCGAACTTTTCCATGATATTTACAGAGGAAACGTCACAGCTGTAAACCCCCCTCCCCCACCCACAAAACGAACATATGACGTTTCTTGTGGAAAAATCGATATGTGAGGCTTCCCTAAAACTGCAAGGTTTACACTATTGAATTAAAATCCCACAGACCACAACGATTATACGTATTGATTGTTTCTTGACGATAGTAGACGCGTACGTGCATGTTACGGAAGAGGTTATTTCGCTGGCCTCAGAGTGACAAAAGGTACCTTGGTTCTATAGAGGTTTAAAATAATAAACCTCTGTTTGAAAGCGGCAATTAAGTCATCGAGCCGCGCCAATCACCTTGAATTAGGGTAGATAGTTATGATAAGACAAGGGCGGCGCCGGGGCCGCCCATGCAGGGAGGCGGCAAAGGGAGCAATTTTCTCCGCGACCCCAGCTCAAGGAAGACAGACAAAGGAATACCGCAAGGCACAGTTCTTGGACCATTTCTATTTTCCTTAATGATAAATGATCTAACAGTCAAAGATCCAAATAACAACATACTAGTCAAATTTGCAGATGATATGATTGTTAGCGCTCCAGTGAAAAATAATTATGACTCCGCACTAGCTGAGGTAGACAATATTGAAAAATGGACGGAAACAAACAGAATGTCATTAAATCTAGATAAAACATGGGAAATGGTTGTAAGTGGCAAATCAACAAATCCTTTACCAGAACCAATAACGGGTATCGAACGCAAGACTTGGCTGAAACTATTGGGAACTACACTGCAGAATGATCCAAATTGTTGGGACCTTCAAGTTAATAATTTGATATCTAAAGCTAGCAGTCGAATGCACATTTTGAGAATATGCAGATCGTATGGCTACTCTAAAAAAAAATTAACAATTCTCTTCGACGCACTTATTATGTCTTTATTTTCTTATGGAATCGAAGTATGGGGTTCTGCACTTGAAAAGAAGTACCTGGAACAGATTGATAAATTTCTTAGGCGAGCATACAGATATGGATACACAACAAAAAATGTTCAGATAATTGATGTGATTAAAGAAAGAGACATGAGTTTATTTGAAAAAATATGTAGTAACCCAGACCATCCTTTATACGAACTACTTCCTCCTAAAAGACAAAGACCGTTAAGAGAACGCGAACACGATTTCATATTACCTAAGGTTAAAACAGAAAGATTCAAACGATCGTTTTTAAATAGGTGTCTTTTTAACAATTTTAGCTAAAATAATTAACTTAGATACATAATAATAACTTAGTCTTAGTCTTTTTAATAATTCTACCTAAGAATAATTAACTTAGATACATAATAATAATTAAGTTTATTTTTTTGGAACTTTGTATACGATTATTTTAAATGTAAAGTCACACGTCTGTTGTGGCTATGTTTAATAAAGACTTAATAATAATAATAATAAATACAAATTTGCAAGGCGATAAAATGTTTGTCGACGGAGGGGGGTAATTGTGGTTCACCGGGGCCCCAAGAGTATAATTGGCCCTGGAGCCCCATATTTCACTGAGCTGGTTTGGGCTGCGCCAGTATTTCACCGACGGGGGGAGTCATCAGTGCTCTCTTTCGATCTTTGTCAATTGGCATTAAAACCGCAAGAACTACCGACAAGTGACCAGGGCCGGATTAACGTCGCGCGAGGCCCGTGGCAAATTTTTGCGCGAGGCCCCCAAACCTCCCCCTCTCTTCTTTTTATGAAAACCATTGAATTTAAAGACACACAAAAGTGTAAATAATTTTTTTCAATATTTCAATTTATTTGCATCAATTATATATAAACGAGATAATGGCCTGCCTGGCGCAGTTGGTGGGTATAAACAGGATCATAATATAACAGCTCAACGCAACTAGATATTATATGAACACAAGTATTCCATATTTTCCCGGGGCCGTGCTAGGGCGAGCTGCCAAGCCTAGGGGCCCTAAATGCGCGAGGTCCCTAAATTCGCGAGGCACCTAAAATGGGTGTGTCGCATAGAAAATGGGCGTGTTCTCGTAAAAATGGGCGTAGCACAGTAAAGCGCGAGGCCCGCGGCATTTGCCGTATTTGACACGTGGTTAATCCGGCGTTAAACGAGCAACGAGCTTTCATTTTCTTTAAATTAAACGCGACGTGTGGGGAGACAATAATAATTTGTGGTGTCGCACTGGGCCAACATATCTCAATGCTGTATTTTTGGGTACTAGTACTTGTGAAATATAATAAGATCAATAGACATTAGTGCATCAAAATAAAGTAATTTTACTGATTATTTTAACTGTGCATCAAAGTAAACACACATTATTGTAAACTACAGTATTTGCTATATGCCTATAATTTGAGTTTGAGGTGGTAGAATATATAATAAAATAACAAATCCTTGTATGGATAAATGTTCATTTCACACGCACGCTATTAACAGCTGCTTAATAATTAACTCATGTATTCGTAAACATTTGTACTCGATAGTCGATATGTAAATACTAAATGGTACATTATATGGATCAATGCAAACTGGAACAAAACAACAATTGTCAATTGAAGTTCTAATTTTGGGAAAATTAGTAACAAATATAAAATCCCTAAACAGCTCATCGATTTGTATGTTTGCGCTATTAAAAGTAGACAATATTGAACAATTAGACAGTGGGCCGTGTGTTCTAAACCTTGATAGTTTAAAGGTTTCGTGACCACCATCTGGGGTGGAGACAAAACCTTTATAAGATGATGCGGAATGGTGCTGTGAGCAACATATATTTTTTCACAAGTCCATATGTTGCACATTAGCACAAACCACCAGCCCAATTATTGAACATTGGAATCGAGGAAGGGACTGGGTTCGAATTTTTATAAAAATGCAATAAGCATATGATAAATCAACAATGAAGCATATCACAAGAAAGAGCACATCAAAATTGATATGTTTACTAAGTTTGAAGATGTTCGGATTAATATGGGTGGAATGAAAAGCTTTCTTAAATCTCAAAAATTCAATTATCGCCTATATTTTAAAAGCTTACTTGCACTCAAACTCAAAGAGTGGAGGTTCAAGATGAGCTCCCTTTGAGTTCCTTTGAATAGCTGGAGGGTGAGCATGGCAGCCAAGAGAATTCCAGTGCTCGGGGCAAAATTTTCGCCGAGGCTGCTATGACGTAATAGTTTGTAAAAGTTGCCTAGTACGAGTGCCGAAAGCACGCCTCGAGCGGCATAGACGCAAATTTTCTACAGTGGGGAGTCGGAGAGCATGCTCCCCGGGGGAAATTTTTTAAATTCAGAGTCTCTGAAATACCATGTCTTGTACTTTCGGCAAAATTTCACAGAATTCTGATGGTCAGAAAACGACATTATAACATATTTTGCTCTACAGCCTGAGCTTGGGGGCTCCCCATTTGGCTCTCTCGCAATTAAGGGGCCCGGTTTACGTTGGGGGCCCGGGGCAAGTTGCCCCACACTCCCCTCTCGGCGGCCCTGAGTGTGAGTACTCGCATAGTATGGTACGACACTAACCCTCCAGCTACACTCTTTGAGTGCAAGTGAGCTTTCAGAATACAAGCATATGAAAACATAAAAATAGTGGACGGCCGTCCCCCCAAACAAAGTTTGTAGTTTTTAAGAGTTTCTTTAGTTAGTCCTCTTCGATGTCAACTCCGCCGCCTCATGATCATCATCATCATCTTCCTCGTCATCTTCAAAACTGGCTTGCCCTGCAATGTTACTACAGGTCTTTCTAGCACAATTGCACAAATCTGTGCAGGGTACATTGTTCTCTAGACAAGTACATTTACTCGCATCGCTGCAGCTACTTTTCTTGCAACTACTAGTGCAGTGGGCAAGTTCCATAACACTATCTGGAGCAGGAGGCAGAGTCATCCAGTCTACCACAAGATTGCCATCTTCTCTCTTCCAGCCATGGTGTTGGGGAGAGGGTACATCTGGTGTTGCCTGCATGCTTCGCTTGAAGATACCTGTAAAAATTGTATGAAAGATGAAAGTTTTCTTGAAGTTGTTTCATACAAGTATACCTATATTCTACACGTGCAAAGCAGCATTCACAACAACGTAATTACTATTTCACACATGCGAAATTAATATGACAGTTCTCATTTCAGCTTCACCATGATTAAATTACCTGCTTGGTAATTTGCTCTCTTGATATGCTGCGTCAGTGCATCTTGGTTGGGTGGCATGGCATTTTCGGACTTTCGTGCTAAGCGGAACATGTTGTACCTGGCTACGTTGACCTGTTCAACCACGGGCTTTAGGACAAATTCAATTCGACAACAATAGTATTCTATCTAAATAGCAGTTAAAATAAAGTGTACGGCACCTGAACTGTTCAATATCTTGCTTCTATATCCATAAAACATTTGCATATATGCAAATGCTGTATATTTTCAAAATCCGCCATATTTATTTACATTAGAATTTAGAACCCAAGCTTTCGCGGTTCACACGTAATATTAACGTCGGTGATTTTCACTAATAATAAGAAGGTAGGATTAAAGTGGGCGTTGTCACTCGCTAACCCAATCAGCTGTCTGGATTCTGTACCACGTGACCTATTCAAATCGTTCCGAGCGGGAGGAATCTTATGACATCATAACGGCTTCGATAAAATAATTTTGGGGACACGTTTGTGCCAATATAAGGAAGTTGGGGACACGTTTGTGCCATATATGGAAGCATGGTTTCCTCGCGCTTCAAACGATTGAACAATTGGATGATCCTACCCTCTTATCATTAGTGAAAATCACTGACGTAATATTTCGTGTGAACCGCAAAACGGCGAAAGCTTTGGTTCTAATGTAAATAAATATGGCGTATTTTGAAAATATAGAGCATTTGCATATATGTAAATGTTTTATGGATACAGAAGCAAGATATTGAACAGTTCAGGTGCCGTACACTTTATTTTAACTGCTATTTAGATAGAATACTATTGTTGTCGAATTGAATTTGTCCTAAAGCCCGTGGTTCAACATCATGTTGCCCATACAATTTGCACACAAACTTCTCCACCAGCACTACCATCTCTGGCAGAAAATCAAATCGTTCTCCAAGATCTTTGAATGCAGAGCACAAGTTCTTGTCATTGAGGAGTAAGTTGAAGGCTTTCGTCTTCCCTCTTCCGTAGAAGGCACTCACACTATCACACCCGTTGAAACAATGCAGTCCTATCAAAGACTGCCTGACGTCATCACCAATGCTTTCATGAATGGTTTTGATATCAATTGTTCGAAGATCAGCTCCCTTTCCAGTATGAAAATACAGATGGGCAGCAATCAGTGGTTGCAACGATACCCCGATAACACGAACATCAGTGTCAGGACTCACTATGATGACATCTGAGCAGGTTTTGGCTGCATAAGCTGCATGAAGATACAACCTTGTATCGGCTTCTTCTTGTGTGGAATTCAATTCCAGTACTTCATGGACTTCAACAATCTGATCTGCTGTGTTACCGGGTATTGCATAGAATATATCACACTTGCTTCCATGGGCATAATAGACCTTTATACCATGGACGTCGCACATCTTCACTGTCTTCCATGTGTCATACAAGTACTGGAGCAGCGCTTCCTTGTTTTTACCACACGAGAGAAACTTCTTCCATTGCAGTGGAATTGCCTGCCCATAGACGCGTATCACCTGCGAACCCCCAACAGCCCTTTTAGCCCTTTCTGCATTTTTTATCGACTGGTCTCTGTAGGTGTCTGCAACGAAGTGAATTTCATTCGATCCATTCCCTCTTGCCAGATTAACTATGCGTCTCAGTAGCACATGTGCAAGGTTAAGGAATGTTCTTTCACCTGGGAGTTTCTTTACATCCACCTTCTGGATCGTTGCCATTGCATCCACTACATAGATACCCCCTCTTGGAATTTCTACGATCGCTTTTCCGGTTGACTTTCCAGACTATGTAGCATCTTAGCCTTTTTGGTTTTAACAAGACATCCAAGTGGTGTACACAATGCTAAAGGTACTGGTCCCAAGGAGTATGATAACAGTTCTTGCAGGTCCACCTTGCGGATGCGTCCAATAACGACTAGTCTTGCTAGAAGATTTCTGTCTGCCTTTAGCGAGACCTCCTTTCCATGGACTTTACTCTTTGTAGTTTTGGACATACTGGTAAACGTCTTCAGCTTCAGTTTCTTCATGCTTGTGAGCAAGTCCACTTCCCGTGTTTGAAGACGTTCTTTGCAAATAGCAATGGATGCAGCTTCTCCTCTATCATAGGCAGCCTGTAAATATTTTTCCACTTCTTCAGTAGCTACTGTACCAGATGTGATGTGCAGCAATTCTTCTTCCTCGTACTCGAAGGGATTGATCATACTGTTTGTTGTTTCCACAATTTTGTCAACATCTGCCTTGTCCCGCTTCATCTGGCTTGGAAGGATATCTGTTCTGATGGAACCTCTTTCTCTCTTGCCAGCCATGTCCTCACACTCCCTTGTTATTGATCCCCTTGCATGGTGTGACCATATCCATCTGTTCACACTTCCTTTGCTTGTTGTAAAACCTGTCATCCCTCCTTTTGTCTTGGAATCGCGATTGGCGGTCTGTTCAATTGTCTGATCACAAGCTATTTGAGCGAATGCATTCTCGCTTCTTTGCACAGTGAAGTGGCCTTCCATACATTGCTAATGAACTGCTGGATGAGTGGTTAGAAGATCTCTCATTCCCAGCCAATACACTGGAAGATATCGGCTGTAGTTAATATGGTCATATGCAAATATCCACGGCAGCATACGTCTGACACTTGCCAAGTACAGATTCCAGTTTCCCTCTCGCGTACCTCTCAGGAAGAGCAACAGAACCTCTACCATGTCCAAATACGAGTTCCAGAATCTGAAGGTCTGCTTGCTGTTACCTGCCTGTATGAACTGGTCAAAGGATGCCACAAACTCTTCAAATCTACCGCTGTTCAAAATCTCAAAGTACTGAGGACTTGGAAATGCTTGTTGTACGTCTGCCATCACTTGCTCCACTTTGTTAGCTGCCTCTTCCGTAAGGGAATGTAGAAAAGCCTGTAGC